CAGAGAGAGAGAGATGACAACATGGCGTGCTATTGCTACTGGTGAAAGACTAAAAGTGATTGGTTCAAAGTTGGGAAAATCTTGCAATTCCACTTGAACTGCAGTCATGTGTTGCTCCCGTGAAAGGGATTGGTTGAAAGTTGAAATTAATCTCTATCACACAGAAACCATGGTGATTGGCTGGCTGGTGTAAGAAATTGACATACACACATACTATGTACCATGCATATTGATCAATACCTCTGAATATTTTACCGGCTCCTCTTTTATTGAGAGCAGTAAGTACACTCCAAGAAATTCGTTTTAGAGCTTGGGCTCCATTGGGTCGTTTGTGAAAAAATAAAGAGCACTGCTACACGGACGATGCTTGTCCAGCCGAAACTTGAACGACATGTCCATCGCACCATCCATGGGCAAATCTAGACAGTAGCGGGCTGTGGGATTAGCTGTAGTGCATGTGTCGTTCAGCAAAGTGTTGAAGTATTTCCGAAAAACAAAAGTGTGAGCTTCAAAATATTCATAAAAAACTCCACATGAACGTATGAACGAGTTCTACATGTGTATAAATTTATTTATTAGAGATATTACAACATTTGAGCTACACACAAAAAAAACACAACAAATATGTTGATTTGTAGCGCTTGCACTGTTCGCCATTAAAACCCATGAATTTGTTTTTTTGTGTGGGTCAACAAATTCGTGGCTTTTAGTACATCTACCACTCACTTCTAAAATCCATAAATTTATTCTTTGTGTAGCTCGCATGTTAAACGTAGCAGAGAAGCAAGGAAGCAAAAAATAACGACGTGGTCACCCCGCCGCCTCGCCCACCACGCACCAATCGAGAATGCAAGGAAGCAAAAAAAAACTAATCGCTTAGAGAAATTATAATAAGATGATGTAAGCAAGTTATAAAAGTTTAGGTATTATATTTTGCTGAGTTGGAGGAGAGACGAAAGAAGCGGGATACAGATTAAGTGTCGCGTGCATCACGGCTCCAAAAAAACTTTTTGAGAGTGTAAGATAAATCATGTATTAGTAAATGTTCCCTCCGTTTCAAAATAAGTATCGTGGTTTTAGTTCAAATTTGAACTAAAACCACAGCACTTAATTTAGAAGAGAGGGAGTACTACATTTATATAGATAACTACTATACATGTTGGCTATTAGATATAGCCAATATTATCCTTGCTCTTATCTAGTCGAGTGGATTGATTAAAGAAACCGGACTTGGTTATTTATTATGTAGTGTTGTTGGAAAAGTAAGGCTGTGAGTGGGTTGGTGTAGAGTGCTGAAAGAAATCGAAGTCCCAATCACAGTGGCTGAGAACTTTGACACAAAGAAGGTGTTTGTTTTGAGGAGTGGTAACGTAAACGTAAATGGAATCAGATAACATAGTGTAACAACTCTGGACTGGATAAACCATATTCTGTTTGGTTCGTCTGTGTAAAGTAAACATATCCCTTGACTGTATGAAGAAAGGTAGCACCCCACGGACAAGAGTGAACGTCCTGAACACGACAACAGATGGTTTTGACTATATCACCGCTGACATTTTCCTGGGTATTAATGCCATTATATTTATCAAGAACAAAAAACTATCACGTTTCATGGAAACATCCCTACAAACTACCACTTTACAAATTTATGTAAAAAACTATCATTTTTTCACTAATCCTTGACTAACTACCATGTCTGAAAAGAGCCCGATTCGCCTCTTTTAAACGTGTTTCTAACTGGTTGGGCCCACACGTAAGCGCTGGCGTGGCACAATAGCCAACTCCGTTAGATTGACCGGTATGTTGACCGTTATGACATGTGGGGTCCACATGTCAGTCTCAATAAATCTTCTTAGTTTTAAACTTTTTTATAAAATTAGTCATTGACTTAAGCCTAAACTAATTAGGAGTTAGACTAATCTGACAACATGGGCCCAGTTGACAGTGGCCCATCCAACCCCAAAACTAATTAGTAACGACATGGTCAACTCAGAAAACAAATCGA